TGTAAACTCTCTGGAACATCATTTCTTGTCTGCGTGTCAGCACTGGCTGCATGTCCAAACATTTCCCAACCGTACCTGTTGAAACTATTTTAGTATCGAACAAACCTCGACTTTACATAAATGTTTCAGGAAAATTTAAAACACCTGTTCCTTTACAACTATACTGACTTAAAAACAAAGTTTTAGCTTGCATCGAAATTAGTCGATACACTACGTTGAGTTTAGCTTTCCAACTATATTGTCCTTATTCCATCTTCCGATGGCAACACTTGTCATTCAGTCGTCTTCTGTCTCAATTACACGCCTCATCTTTCGTGACTGTTACTATTTTATTAAGGGAGACTGGAGGCATATCCTGCTCACTGCATGCCTATCCGTTTTAAACCTTTTTATGCATATTGACTAACGCTCATTATAGTATCTTCGCTAGTTCGTCACCTGCTCCACTGGAAGGTCGTTTTGCACTCATGGTGTGAAAATATATACAGCAGTGCTTGGTGAAACATTCATTAATGGTGGTGAACGTCGACGAAATTCAAGGGATAGCTAAGAGAACAAATGAATGTAAAGTGGTAGCATCATTCAAAGTGGTGGAATGAAATTATTCATCCTTATGTTTTGTAAAAAATTAATGCATTCATCGGCGTCTGAACAAAGACGTTGAGAATAGCTTGCAACGTACCGGATAATTTACAAAGTAAATGCGAAACAGTATTGGTAGCAATGACGCCAAACGCGGATTCACTGTATTGTATACATTTAGTGCAAGTCCTTCTTCTAATTTTCCAATTTTTTTAAAAAAAATGTGTTTATTAATTAAACTGGCTTTTATAAAGGTGTGCGGATCGCGTTGAACTGTACAGCATTTTCCCAGACAACCATGAAACTTTACTGGGAAAGTACTGCTCCGGAACATACCCTGGACCAATTCTGTCTCCCCAACAAGTGAATCGCGTGAAAGTTGTATTCGTGTCGAATGAACTGCTTACAGATACGGGATTTAAAGCTCTCTATCAGTTCATATCAGAAAAGACAGTTCAGCGAATTGGAAAGAAAAGTTACATTCATCCATAATGACTCTTATGCCTACTACTAGTTTTGTTTAGACGATTGTGTGCATCAAATAATCGGCTCGGTGTCAGGATGGTTCATGTCGCCAAACTTCCCTCATCGATACGAAGCGAATCTTGCGTGTTTCTGGAAGATACAGGTTCGCGCTGGATATCGAATCCTGCTGCAAGCCGTCGAGCAGAATGTCGAAGGACTGATGGATAAAGACGGACAAAGTGAACAATAAATCCTGCGTAAAACAGCTAAATATTCATAGCTGTGCGTTTTTGAGGCAGCTGCCAGTCGGCCGTGATTAGGGTGCAGAACGAAAGCAGCGTATTCGGCAAAGAATTTTGTGGCGAAAAGGCACTGCACAATGCACGCGAGTACGTGTCGGAGAAAAACGTACTGTACGTCAGGTGATTTCCTAAGTTTACATATATTTTTAATAAGCGTCAGCTGTCATGCGAATTGGTTCTCGACACTTCACTTCGATATCCCTGAGGAATTTTTGAGTACTATGTTGCCGAGTCAGCTGAGTATGTTGAACGGCCTCTGAAAATCGAAATGAGTTTCCAACAAATCTGAAGAGGAGCAAAGTTGGAAAACATTTAAATTTGGATTCGAATGTCATGGCATAAATTTTTGGTAGCCGCTAATTTCCTTCAACAATGAATCCATTTAATTGTGCCGCAGTGCAACCAACTAAATCACTTGAATCGGCCATTAATCGGCTATGAATCGCACCGGCCTCAACTCACACGCCATTTCTCACGTTTTCGAGCCTTCTCCTTCAAAGTTCCTGATATATTCTTCCCATCGTCTTGATGGGCTACCAAGCGGCCCAGTCCAACCGAGAGGGATACCAGTCAACGATCTACCGTTGGTGAGCCGAGCTACGTGCATGACCCACTTTCTAGTTTCTTCCTCTTCTTTCGACGACAACGTCCTTCAATCCGTCGCTATCTGGTCACCGCACTGGGAATGTGATAACCACGTCAGATTAAAAGCATTCTTCTTTCCATGACTTTCTCGATGACAGATACCTGGCGCTTTCCGTTATATGAGTGCGAACGTCTTACAGCCATACAACATGGCCGGCAGGATAGCCAGAAAACGATTCGCAAATCAAAACTATTGATAATTAGGTAAAAGCACATTGTAGCCATTTAAGGAGCGATATAACAGCATGCTGTTTGCAGACGACCTTGTTTTATTAGCATCTTCCGAAACTGATCTCCAGTGCTTCTTAGAAAGGTT